GGCCAGGACAGATCACCTAAGCTCCGGATAAGTGCAAACCTCTCAATGGCCTTTAATATGGGTAGAGTAAGCTCACCTGTGTTTGGCTGTACTAGCTTGAGGAAGGTCGCCACTTGGGAAGATGGCTGTCACATCTGTTGAGCTGGGAGTAGTCTGCACGAGGCTGTGATTCTCCTATCCAATGCACACATCTCACATCTGTAAGCCCACCCTATCCTGTCTTCCTGTTTACTTGTTTATATATAAGTGCGTTGCAGCCCCCAATAAAATTGAGCTGGATTGACTCTCTGATCCTCTCTCAAAGTGGTGTGTCTTCATCGTGCTTCCACTCATCAGGGTGTCATTGTTTGTTGTTGGCAAATGGACAGTAACAGCTAAATGCCTCGTTTGTTGTATCTGCATTGTTCTGGATTTTTTTTTAAGCTCCTCTTGGTTTTTGCTTTCAGTGTTCTGTAATTCTTCAAGTTTGTCTTTCACCCATTGAAAATATTCAATCATTGTTCTTTAACATTCTGTGTCAGAAAGTTCCATCAGACTTTCTGGTCAGGAAATCCATTGATGCTGTGTCACCTTTTAGGGGTGACATCTTGCTTTGAACTTGTATAGTGTGTGGGATAGCTTCCTTTCTTCGAGACACTGAAATTTTCTTGACCTGAAAACAATGCTCTAGAAATCAGTTCAGCAGCTACACCACTTGTGTTTTGTTCTGAACTTCTGACTCAATCGAAAGTTCAGTTCAGGGCCTATGAGAGCAGCCTCTTGTAGTTAAGTCAGATCAAGGTGCTCTGGATTAAAGGCAAGTTGATTGATTGGATGTATATGTACAGGTGTGGAGCTGAAAGGGGGCTGGACAGACACGGGGGTGGGGGCTACAACAGGGGCAGGTCAACCACTTGCAGGACATCACTCAGACCTCACCTGTCTGGGTGTGCTCATGAGTGGGGTTCTTACTCAAATTTCAGCTTTCTGTCTCCCACCCAGCAGCTCTTCCTCAGTGGTGCCTTCTCAGCAGCTTTTACCCAGGTGCCCTTGCACAGCAGTCCCTGCCCCAGCAGGGACCTGGTTCAGAGGGACCCGAGAAGATTCAGTTAAATTCCCACCAACCCACTTGCCTATGGCCTGTCTGCGGTGTCCACAAAATTCAGTCAAACGCCCCCTGGCATGTTCATTCTTGGATGCTCTCTCAGGCAGTTGATGGTGTGCAGGAAATTCAGATAAATTCCCACTAGCCTGCCCATTCCTGGTCAGTCAGTGGGACCCAAGAGAATTCAGTCCAATTCCCACAACTGGCGTACTCACTCTTGGGTGCTCTCTCAGGCAATCAGCAGTGCCCAAGAAAACCTAATCTAATTACATAGGGTCGCTATGAGTCTCAGGCGACTCGACGGCACACAACAACAACAACAACAACAACAACAATTACTTTTGCCCCCCCCCCCAATTCATGGGTGTTTGGCAATGGCACAAGAAAACTCAATCAAATTCCAGCAGACCCACTTGCTCTTAGTGGGGCTTAAGAGAACTCATTCAATTTCTGGCTAACCTTTCTCCTGGTGGATGGGACCCACAGCAGCTTGACAGGAGACTTTCGGCTTTGACTGGGCCCATGATGCGGCCCAGCTCTATGTTCCTGTAGCTCCAAAACTAATTGTTCTAGGAAAAGTTGTGATTCCAATTCCTACTGTCCACATCACACCATGTCGGTCGGTCTCTCTGTGGCCTGAAGGTCTGTCTAGTGGCCCATCTCTGTGCAGCTTGCTGCTCCTCCTGCTCTTCACACTGCTCTCTCCAGCACCACCACCTTAGAATCCACAATCAACATTGTTAATACCAGCACTCAGGAAATCAAAAGACAAATTGCATTGGAAAAATCTGTTGTCATTGACCTCTCCAGAGTGCTGAAGAGCAACAATATCAGTCTAGATACGAAGGTGTACCTAATCCAAGCCGTGGTCTTTTCAATTATTTGTTATGGTTCAGAGAGTTAGACAATGACTAAGGGTGACAGAAGAATTGTTGCCTTTGAGTTGTGTTGAGTTGAACATACCATGGACTGCCAAGAAATGAAATAGGTCTGTCTTGGAGAGGGTGAAACCAAATCTCTCCTTGGAGGCTAGGATTTTGAAGTTCTGCCTCACTTACTTTGAGTATGTGGCCAGGAGGGACTATTCCTTACAGAAGGACATCATGCTCAGAAGGGTGGACAGGCAGCGTAGGAGAGGAAGACCTTATAGAAGATGGATTGATACAGTGACTGGGGCAATGGGGTTAGTGTGTTGGAAATTGGGAGACTGGCCCAGGACAGGGAAGGGTTCAGACCTGCTGTACGAAGAGTTGTTATCCCTTGCAGGCAACTCAATGACACATAACAAACATAATATACTCTGACAAGTTTGGAAGCAAGGAGTGGCATCCACTTCCTGAACATCATGCCTCTGGAAACTCTATGAACTTTGACAAATGTCAATATTTGTAGAGTGGCTTCAGACCTTTTGTTCATAGGGTTGCTATGAATCATACTCAACTCTAAGGCATTCAACAATAACAATAATGACAACAATAACAACAACAACAATGACCTATTTTGGGAAGGAGAGCAAATATGTATTTCTTCCAGTCAGTTGGTCTGGTAATTGCCTTCCAAATATTGTGGCATAGACTGATGAGTTTGTCTGGGACTAGGTCTCTTACCAAAACATGTCACTTAATAGCCTATTGATTCCTAGAGTCTTATTAATTTATTTTTCTTTTATATTGGTTTGCAAACAAAATTTGAACATACTGTGTTTTACTCAAGTACATTGAGTTTCACACACGTACATTGTGTTTCACACATTCCTCCACTCACCTTGCATTTCATATGACCATTCCCACACATTGTGTTTTAGACAATCAGTCACCATTTACATATGTCCACTATTTCATGATCTTTTCAGGTCCCCAGTGTATCTTTTCTTAACCCTTCACCTCTTCTGTCCACCCACTAAATTGTGTGACATCAGGATTTCTTCCTCTGTACACCCTCAGCTCCTTTGCACCCTTTCTTTGCCCCTTTGCATTTTGCACATATACATTACAATAGAAGTCTAATGTAGTATTTGCCCTTATGAGACTGCATTTATGCCCTTGCAGTGCACTCAGCATAATGCCATAATGCTCTCTCTCCAGCCTCTCCTGTGTTACATAGTATATTTGTAATTGTTGCTCCTGAGTACTGCACAGTATTCCATCCTGTGAATGCACCACAATTTCTCGGTCCTTTCATTTGTTGATAATGTTTAGACTATTGTAATTTCCTTGCTATTGTGAATAACACAGATATGAATATCGGAGTACCAATCTCTGCTTGTGTCTCAGTTCTATTTTCCTCAGGGTATATTTGTATCTGTGGAAAAGTTGAGTCATACAGAATTTTACTATCAGCTTTTCGAGGAAATGCCAAATTGACTTTCAGAGAGGTTATACCATTTTACAACCCCACCAACAGTTTATAAGAGTTCCAATCTCTCCACATCCTCACCAACATTTATTGCTTGCTGTCCTATTAAACTTTGCCACAGCTACTGGGTGAGATGGTATCTCATTGTGATTTTGATTTGTTCTCTCTTATTGCAAGTTATTTAGAGTATTTCTTCATGTGTCTGTTAGTCATCTGAAGGTCTTCCTCTGAAAAGTCTTTCCACATCTTTTTGCCCATTTTATAATAGAGTTATCAGTCATTTCCTTGTTGCAGACCTTATAGTAGTCTGTCAACTTTTGTTATGAGACTCTTATCTGAGGTGGTATTTCTAAATGGGTTTCCCCC